CTCATGAGTTTAACAGGACAGAAAAGGAAAGAAAAATAATATAATAACAACAACAACAATAATTATATACGAGACAAGTGAGGCACAGTGCAATCATTCACCATCTGCCAACCAATGTCCAGCCATTCCCTGAGCAGCCCCCCACCCCTGGCCAACTCCCCCACTTGTATAGACCTGCACGACACCGTATGTATGGAATACCCCTTTGGCCAGCAGATCTGTTCTCTCCCAGCTCCTTCTGCCCCCCAGACCCTCGCTGGCAGGACAGCATGGAAAGCTGAAATGTCCTTGGCTCTGTGTAAGCTCAGCTCAGCTCAGCAGCAGCTAAAACATCAGTGTGCTATCAGCACTGCTCTCACTTGAAATCCAAAATGCAGCACCACACCAGGTGCTAGGAAGAAAATTAACTTCATCCCAGCTGGAAACGGGACGCCTGCATTCTGAATCTCTCGGAGCTCCTAAACAAGGAATATGAGTGAGTGCCTGGGTGAGAGCGTAGATGTTGGTCAGGTCAACCTGGTCAGGGTCAACCCATCACAGCAAGGCAGTTTGCAGCTGTGCTCAGAAAGCAGCCTTATGCATGTGGTACCAGAATCCAACTGATCTGTACCAGAGCACTGGTTCCCCTTGTTTCTCCTGCTCCAGGACCACTTCTGTGGTGACTGATTCTCAGGGCCACTGCTGTGTGTTGGCAAAACATTTTTTTGGCCACTCTCAGATTTCTTCTGTGTTCTTATGTGAAGGACCCGTTTCCTGCCATCTCACTTTCCAGTGCCTTGCTTCCTTACTGTGCTCTGACCCTGCAGATTCCCTGCAAATGTCCCAAGAGAAATGATCCATACCTTCCCTCAATTCCATTTTGCCCAACTGAGGGATTCGTTGTATGGGATTCAAAACTGCACAGTGGAGGGAAGGCACAGAGTGGTCTCTCACTCTGTGCATTGGCATTTCCTTACAGTACATGACTGTGAGATTGTGCTGCCACAGAAGGAGATTTTAAAAATCATGTGTGACCCCCCCATACACAGTGGTTCTATGTCTGTGGTGGGGAGCACTGTTTTCCTCTAAGTCCTTTTGCTGGAATCTTGCCCCTTCAAAGGAGCTCTGGCAGTCTGGTTGCACACACAGATGAGATTATGCAGCACGATGCACAAATGTGTATATTTTGGAAGAAGTTCTCTGATGAAACTACCATATGCATTTAATGCTTCTGCTATAAATACGTTCTATTGCTAATTCATGCTTCCAGGTGTTATTTGAGTTTGATATCACTGTAATCTGCCAGATTTTGCCCATTTTACCCGAGCTGAGTCAGTTTCCCCTGAGCACACTGACAAGCTTTGGCTCTGCAGCTTTGGCTGTGTTTTCACTGCCCAGCACTCAGTCTGAAATGAGAGCATGGGATCCATATTCTGTCATGCTCACAGCCTCCTGTTCAGCACAGCCTTTGGAAGGTTGAATAAATAAGAATCACCATGTCTGCAGGCAGACAGAGGTTAACTAGCTGGATAGTGACTGAAGCAAACTTTTTGATTCACCATTCAGATAGAGTCAGTATCCCCAGCTCCTTGGAAACTCCATCCAGAAGGAAGCTATGTAATGGCTCAAAGACAGTGCATATGCAGATAAAGAATTTACTTTACTCCCTTGGCCACTTCAAGTCCTTGGGGTTGTTTTGCTAAGTGACTGAGAATGACGTTAGGTCACAACACGCTGAAGCAGAAGCTACAGGTTCTCGCCAGTTATATCTGACATTATTTCCAGATGTTCCAGCTCTAGCCATCATGGTCCACTGCAGGGATCCTGGCAGAGGGGCTGTCACTTTGATCTCTTTGTACAAGCCTTTGTGTACCCGCCAACTCGGTTCCTGACTTTCCTGGCAGGACTGCCCATTGCCCTTGTCTGCAAAATCTATTACAATACAGAGACATTCTTTTGCTTAAACAAGGGTCTTCATTTCCTATTCATGAAAAGTTTAAGTGACAATTCCAGGGCATCTTAAACAATAGCCATTTGTACACAGGCTTGAGATAAAACTGCATTTGCATCCTTGAAGGGCATTCTCATCGAACAAAGCAGTATGGGGCCTCACACCTGGAGAGATAGGATGCTTCTGTGCCTCTCACCATAATTTTGTCAGGTCTAATTCCACTGTTCTTCTGCCAGAAGTAGAAGTGATATTTCACATCCAAATGCGACAGAGTCCAGCTGGGAGCTACAAAGATGATTAAGGCCCTGGAAGGTCTCCCATAAGAGGAAAGGCTGAGAGCTCCAAGGCTGGTCAGCTTGGAGAAGGAAGGCTGAGAGGTGATCTTATCAATGCTTATAAGTATCTCCGGGACAGGTGTCAAGTGGAGGAGGCCAGACTCCTTTCAGCGGCGACCAGCATCAGGACAAAGGGCAGTGGGCACAAACTGGAACACAGGAAGTTCTGTACAAGCATGACAAAGAAATTCTTTACTCTGAGGAGGCCAGAGCTCTGCAACAGGCTAAGCTGTTCAGAGAGGTGATGGAGTATCCTTCCCTGGAGATATTCAAAACCCACCTGGATTCTTTCCAGCGCTGCCTTCAGCAGGGAACCTGCTTTAGCTGGGGGTTGGACTAGATGATCTCCAGACACTCCTTCCAGCTCTTACAGTCCTGTAATTCTATCAGAGCTTCACTGAGGAATGGGCATTGCCTGCAAACTGCAGGACTATTTGATCCCCTCTCAACCTAGCACGACTGAAAGAGAGCAGAAGAGTAAAAATGTAAAACACAGACCCAGGACCAGTAATCCCAGCAGCCAGCATCTCTTTGTAGGGAATGGATAATCACGTTTCCAGCTGTCACTCTTCTGAAAAATCCCTTAGCTGTTCTACCATGATTCTCCCCTGAAAGCTACCCAAGCACTGGCACTGAAGAGGAAGGAGACCGCATTCCTCCACCCCTCTGCTCCTCCCGTATTTCTGGGAGCTGTGTTGTCTCCCTTGAACATACACTGCTGAGACACACAATGAGTGTGACCAGTTCTACAGTCTTGCTGGCTGGAAGGTGAGTTTCGATGTAGCAAGGCTGGAAGGGCTGGTGACTTTTTTCCTGGGAGGTGTAACCAGCAGCAGATGTCTCTCATGAGCAGAGCCTCCCAGGGCTCACAGGAGAAAACAGGAGATTTCTGCCCTCTTTTGTAGCCCTGAGTTGCCTTTGCTGGGGGTGACTTGAAGGGTGATGGAGTATGGTAAATGCTGTCCTGTAGCAGCGACACAGGCATTGACACTGGGAGGTGAGACAATTGTTTGCATTAGAACTTTTGCTGTAAAGGGCCTTTTGCAAATGCCATGCTTTCCATAGAGCTGCAAGGGAAGTCATGCGTGGAGAACAGCTGGTGAGTGACAGTAAGAGAGAGGTGTGAGGTGTGAAGGTGGACTCAGGAGTCAAATGGGATGTGAGATGGCTGAATAAGCACTGGTGGATGAACCAGAAAATTCCAGAAAAGTGATTTTTGAATGCTTGTTAAGTCAGTCCCATGACATTGTATTCTCGAGTGCATGGAACACCGCTCTGATTAGAAATGTTAGTTCATGAGAGCAGTCCTACGCAGTCCGGTGCATTGCAAACTATTAGAAAGTCTGTCCCGGGGCTGGGGGGACAGACAGGGCAGTCCTTCCGAGCTGTGAAAACAAGAGGGTCAGCTGGCAGATGGGAATTGCACTGGAGCTGGAGCACAATTTAACAGAATCATAGAAGGGTTTGAGTTGGAATGTCACCTCGTTCAACTCCCCTGCAATGAAAAGGGATACGTGCACCTCAGTCAGGCGCCCAGAGCAGCCTCACCTTGAATGCCTCCAGGGATGATCATCCACTCCATTTCTGGGCACGTGTTCCATGCCTCACCACCCTTATCATAAACATCTTATTCCTAATATCCAGCCTAAATCTAAATCTAAATTGAACTGAGTGTGTCTGGATGAACTTGCTGCTTTGTGCTGCTGGGATGGAGAATGTCTCCCAAAACCAAAGCTTGCTGAGGACTGAGCAAATGCAGGTTGCAAGCTGCAGGTTGATCAAGTTCTGTCTTTCTGTGTTTCATGCCTGTGATATGATTGTCATTTTCTCTTACCTGTCTACAATTATCTGCTGGATCGTGGAAAGTTTTCACGAGTTTTGTTCCTGAAGTCTAACTATTTAATACTGAACTGTATAGCAAACACCAGATTTTGCACGTCAGATGGAGCAACCCTGGCTCTATATAAAGACCTGGGGATGAGGAGCTGGAGAGAGCAGCTCTACAGAAAGAACTGCCATTTCAAATCCAACAACCTGGTACTTCTCCCAAACGACCCTGTAGATAAGGTGAAAACGGGCTTTTGGAACTTAAAAAAATTACTTTTATTTTAGGAACCAATAAAATTATGGCAGATATTTACAAATAATTATCTCACATAAAGGTTACATGAAATCAAAGGTCCACAAGTAACAGTCACTCTCATGAAAAGACACACAGATATTGAACTACGCCAATCTTATTGCATGTTTCTTCAACTAATCTAAAAATAAAACGTGTTGCAGTCAACCATTTAACTTAGAATAAAATCACAAATCTCAGTTCTGACAAGAAAAAGAATCGGGAACAAAAGGCGTAAAAGAAGTTCAGAAGACCCATCCCTGGTGACCCACACCTCAGCACGCCCACTGCCCAGCCCACCTCCCCCTTGTTCTCCCCAAAGTAAAACGCAAAACAAAATCCCCAAAATAATGTTCAACATCTTTGGCAAATTGGCACTGCTGTAATTACATTCAAATATTATAACACACGAAAGCAACACACAGCACTAAGGAAAAACACCAAAATTTCAAGTCTGTTCTTTTCCTACTAGAAAAAAAGAATACAAAACATACACACTTTAAGAAGCAATTTTTCATCTGTTTTGCAACAGATGTTATCCCCTACTTTCAAAGGCAATTCAGCAGTTATTTTTATGAGTTTTCTTCTGTGTTTTTTTGTGTTTTTTTTTTTTCCATTTTTATGCATTTTTTAAGGAAAGGAGGCTTTTTTTTTTTTTTTTCCCCTCTCCTCTCTTTCTTTTCCTCTTACAAGAAGTAAGCTTCAATGCAGGCATTGCAGACTTTGGTGGATACGATAGATATGTATGTATTTCTTTGTTGCTAGAAGTTCCTAATAGAAAGTAGTTTATCTCTATGGAAAAAAAAAAAAAGAAAAAAAAAAAAAAGCCTGTTCTCTTTTTTTTTGTTCTTGAAAGTAAATTCCATTTGCAGTGAAATGATTTTCTGTAATTCCAGAATGTACAAAGGCCACTAGAAAGTGAAAAACCAGGACAAAGTTTCTTTGCACTACAAGGCTGAATGAAGCAATAGAAAGATCTAAACACCCACTGACCATTTTTCCGTCTCCATTTACAAGGTTACTCATAAACCTGGCTGCAGGAGTCCAATGGCGCGGTTAGCAGTGGCACGGGAGGCTGTCAGCAGGCGCTGCAGTGGGCACAGACCCAGAGGTGCTCGTGGGCCTATGAGTGCTCACACGTGTGCACATCAGTCTCTGCACACTCTGCTCACGCTCACTGCCATGCTGACACAGCACTTGGCTTGCACTGAGCACCTCCCAAAGATGCTTTCTGCTCAGTATTTGCAAGTCTTGTTTAAGGTTGGACTGGATGATCTCAAAGGTCTTTCCCAACCTTAGTGATTCTGTGATTAACTCCACCAGAAAAGAAATACTGCTTGTTTTTAATCAAGTGGATTTCTGCCTGAGGGCACAGCAGTTCTCTTGCTGGAGTCTTGAGTCATTCACTGTCATTCAGCTCTCTACCTTCAGTGCAGAGCAACTGCTGGGGATCAGAATGAGAGCCAGCACCTGTGTCACTGTGAGCAGCCCAACCTGGCACAGCTTTTGCTCTGCACAAGACTGCAGGGCACAGCCTGGGAGCTGCTGGCCATCTGGAGCTCTCTTGTCATTTTCTCAGTGAATCCATAAGAAGAAGCAGTTTTCCCAGCACTGCAGGGATGGAGTCACAGGATGGGTCAAGTTTAATGCTGTGCTCCCATCATGAACCAATGTCACAATGTCCCAGTTTTAGGGAAACATGCGCGCATAAACATGCAGGAAAGAATGCAGAACCATGGAGGACACTTTGCTGAAGCCTCTACATTGCCCCAGCAGCCAGCCCCACAAGTTATCTGGGCTGTGTGCCGTAACACTTGGAACTGTTGGATAGTCATGCTTGGAAATAACGTAGCATGGCTTCAATTCTCTTTCATGATAAAGGACTTGTAAAAGAGAAAAAAATAAAGAAAATTTTAAAGTAGAATACAATCCCATCAGTCAAGGCAGTGTATGGGAGAATGCATATAAACAGAAAGCTGCTGCCAGCACTCTGCAGTGCAGCAAGTGAACTCCTCTGCACCCTCCTCAGTGCACAGCCATTGCAACATACATGTTATGTAGAAAGATGACAGAAGTCCAGCAGTTCTCTCATGAACTTCACTTTCCTTTCAGCTTGCCTCTTCTCTTTTGTTCTTTTTTCTTTTTTTGTTTTTTTTCTCCTGGTACTCTGTCCTTCTTTGCTGTTTCCTTCACACCAATCTACAGCACCGAGGCTCTCTCCAGAGCCTGCAGTTCCACCATTCCTGAAAGTTCTGCTTTGACATCTCTACGTTTCTGAATGAAACACCTGCTTTCTGACCTCACGGCCCCAGATCCTGGAGCATTTTCCTGACCGGATAGGTAACAAGGACTTTAGTCTAGGGATCCTGTCTTGGCCTGTGTCTAAATCTGCAGGTGATGGGTGCCATCTTACAACAGTGCCTCTGAAGTCAAATCTTTGGGCATAAACGCTAAACTCAGTGCCCACAGCATGACTTCTTTATGGCTACATTTACAGCACAGAACCAAGGGTTTCCTCAACAATTCATGTAACACCAGTTCACAGCTTTTATTGATTCAATTTTATGTCAGTATTTTCTCTCTCCACCTCTAGCCTTTATTTTTAGGCCTGTCGGAGCTGGCAAGCTATTGCTGGAATGCAATACTGGAATGCATACTACATGAAACACCATCAATCTAGCTGCACAAAAGAGCTCAGCGGTGGAACTGCCTGAAGGCACTTTTGTGGGGCTGAGTTCTGCAAGAGGTTGGCAATGATGTCCCATGCTACAGGACATCCTGCCCAAACCAAACAACAGCAGCGCCTCCCGTGCCCCAACACCAGTGTTTCTGGGTGCATGAAAATGACCCATGAAGCTAATCTACAAAACTGAACCAGGCTCAGCAGATTAATAATGGTGTTGCTCACATTCCCATCCCTTTGCAACACCAAGTGGCCACTTGCTTCCAGTCTCCACTTTGTTCTACATCCTCCCCTGCAGCCAGCACATGTGAACATAGCATGCATGTTGAAGGCCTTGCTCACATCTTCTCAGCCAGGCCTGTTGCAGAGTAGCTGGCTGTTGGAGAGGGCATATACATGGTTGACTTTGTTACTGTCAAAAATACAAAGCACTGACAAGTGTGTTTTCTGGAAGTATGGATGGCATGCATGCTTAGCAGGCTAAATCCTGCTTGTTTCTCGCAGAGAAACAACCTGAGCTTACACAAATGAGCCACACCTCCAAGGAATCCTCAGCAGTGTTTGAGGGAGGTGGACCAGACACAGATCCCTGCTGAACACGTGCAACGGTGAGCATCTGTGGTTCATCTGTGGTTGTGAGCTGGAATGCGCAGGCAGAGGGAGGACTTGTGCAAGGCCTGTGCACCTGCACCTTCTCTGCCTCTTACCCAAGCTGTGGCTCAGTGGATGCAGGCCTCCACCATGCACTGCAGGACAACTCTGGCCAAGGACCAACCCTTAAGGATTCTTGATGTAAACACTAAGGCAAATCAAGGGCTGAGTGTAAACACCTTAGGTCACTTAGTCCACAGGCATGCATCCTTGTAATGTATGACGGTTGCTCCAAAAGTAAAGCCTCCTGTTTTATTATGTTGGCCCAAGAAATCACAGGTGGATGTTGGAGATATAACAGTAGAGGTTGAACCTTCCTACCAAAATTCTTCTCCATTTTGTTGCCATGAGACAGATGGCAGCAGAGGGGCTCTCTTACAAAATGACGTCTGACATGGAAGTACATATGAAGCAAAGCTGTGCCACAGAATTCCTCCACTCAAAAAAAAATTGCAGCAGTTGACTTTCATAGATGCTTGCTGAACATACACAGAAACCAAAGAGTGGATGTGAGCACAACGAAGCAGTGGGTGTTGTGTTTCAGCAGTAGTGGCACTGACTTGAAAGACAAGCCATGTTCTGAATAGCTGTGCACAGATGTCACACCACAAAAGGAAGAGTCTCCAAATAAGCTCATCCACTCAAAATGGTTAACAGTGGTGACTCAGTCGAAAGATAGTGTTTTGTAGCTGAGAATTTGCTCTATCAAAAGGTGTTATTGTGCTCTTTACAGCTGTTGTAATTTCCATGAAAATTAATAAGAGGCATTACTTTTGGAGCGACTTACATACAAACCATGTTTTTCATAAGTCCATTGACTAACTACAAGAGTTTCTGTCCTGAGCATAATAGCATCTGTTGAAATTTCATGTCTTATGTTTAGCCTTCTCAGTGTTAACCTGACTAAAGCCATATAAGATATTTACCACCAGGGAATGAAAAACTAAGCTTTTAAAAAATGCTTGCTGGGTAGTACTCAGAACTGGTGCAAGCACATACATATAATCAACAGGAGCTGCTCTTCCTGCACTGGAAAGGCACAAGCACAGGCTTTGAGACCAGCTTCATCAGTGGTCAAGTAGCATCCCTGCAGCTCGTGTAGCTCACCCCCACCCTTGCTTTTGGGGCATGACCCACACCCTCATGTTGTACCATCAGATGTTTGTTTCTTGCCTCCTCTCCTAGTGTCAGATGACCTTCTAACTATCCAAGCTTACAGAAAAGGCAGCTGTTTTGGGGATATGCCTCTGCATGTGGTGTGCACACCTCAGCTGAGCTCGGGTGAAGAAACCCCAGCCAGCCACTGGGGTGCAAACAGCCATGCAGTATGTATGACACCAAAGCAAAGCTTCAGAAAATTCCCCAGGTAAATGATGGTTTTGTGCTTTTCAATTAAAAACGTGTGTGCGTGTTTGTGTTTCAGGTATCAAATGCTGAAAAATGAAAAGGACAATTTTTCTTGCAGGTAAGTTTGTCGCGTGCTCACAGAATTAAATTTTGGTTTAGGGAACCCATTTAAGCCAGTGGAACCTAGGTATCATCATGGCTTTTGAGAACCAGAGAAAATCTAGCATGGAACCTGAACCTAACAGTTGTGTGTTTGTGGCATGAAAAGGTACAAAACATGCCACTGAGACTGGGGAACACACGGAGGCTGCCAGTGCTCACTGATGGCAGGCACACGAGGTGCTGGCAGCAAGGAGAACAGGGAGGAATGTTAGCTCAGACGTTGCAATTTCAAAGAAATGCTTGCAAAACTGGAAGCAAATACTTAATACTTGATTGTTCATTCGTGGGACACCACCAGCAATCCCTTCTCAGCCTTGGGAAGGACACAGGCAAACACAGACAGGTCTCTTTGCAGTGCCGATGCTGTGCAGTCAGAGGCTGCAGGTAAGTCTGGTCTCAGCAAGGTCAGCTCTTCCCTCTCTTCCAGGAGTGGCTAGGCACATGCACACCATAACACATGGCAAAAGGCAGCTGCACTGGGGGATAGTTTTCCCTGTTTCCTGGAAAAAGCAGTGGTTGGTGTATTGCTTACCAGATCATTGGTAAGCTGCTCTCTTCAATAGCTCGGGGAAGCAGTGAGCACTGAATGAAATCTCACCTTCGCGCTCCTTTCTTGAGTAGGAAGGCAAGACATGCAGGATTAATGGGGCAAAGTTCTCTGTGACTCCAGTCTCGAATTCAAAACTGCTCTCCTCAGTGTTACTAGAATGACTTGAGATACCTTCATTTAAATGGACAGACCCCCCTGACCAGCACGCCTCAGAAAGCAGGTGTGTCTGCCCATGTGTTCAGTATACTCTGGTCAATAGTCCACTTCACAGAAATCAGTATGGCTGTATGTTCCCCCTTTGTTTCAGGGTGCCCATAACTGGGTTTTAGCAGACGACCCGCTGAGATGTAGATAAGGTGTCTACTATTTTTCTTTCCTGAATGCAGTTTAACTTGAAACCAGAGAATTTGTTTCAGTGCTCATTATGATGACAAATGAACACAAACAAATACTAGACAACAAACCGTGTCAAAATTGCCCATGTCTTTCTGATGTCTATGAGTTTGGTACCAGCATATAGCATGATTACACACAGCTGCTGGTTAGGATGCTGTGCAGCAGTAACATCAGCCTGAAAGATAGCCACAATGAGTGTTAACCTGGTTCAAAGTTGCTTAAAGCTTATTGAATTCTTTGAATCAGTGCACCAGTTTCAAAACACATTTTCAGATGCATTTTAAACCTAGACTTGTACAGTGTTGCTGCATACGCAGAGTCAGTCTCATAGCAGTACAAACAAGCAAGTATTTACAGTGCTGCTTGTGTAAAATTGAGCAGACTGATCTTTCTTTGCCACAAAAAAAAAAAAAAGCAATAATAATAATTTAAAAAGCTTGTGTTGAGTCTCACAGCCTGTCTCAGTGTGCAGTAAGAGGAAGCTATCCCGCACAGGGAGGCCCACATCTCTTCCTTATCCCCAGTTACAGCCGTGGTACCCACAGCGATTAAAGCAGTAGCCAGACAGCTGCAAACAACATGAAACTACTGCATTCCTATGACCGCATGATGTGCCAGGAGAACCATGTCCTCCTATTTCTTTGTTTCACTTCAGACCCAGACAACATCACCAGAATTAAGAAAATGACAACGTTAAGTTTTCAGAGTCTTAAGAGTAAAATTTCAATGAGCTTGTTCCTACTATTTACTTTCTTCCTCCTTGACTTGCACGGTTGTAGCAAGGTGACTCCATGCAGTTGTCCCAGGCAGTATTTTGTGGTAAGTGCTCAAGCTTTGGGTCCGAGGTCAGTGGCGGTCATAGGCGGCAGCAGCTGCTGGTGGGGCTGCTCCACGGGCTGCAGCACTGTAGTAGTAAGGAGAGCCTGGAAAAGAGGAGACTCTATGAAGAGAACAGATGGGGGGAAAGTGCAATCTCACAGTGCCCAGGGCTCCTTCCTTTGGGTTCTGTGCCACGGGAATGAAGGTGGAGTGATCAGCACAAAATCACGTCCCGCACTGCTGCAGCTGCTGTGCACTGCTGTGGGTTGGAGAGCACCTGGTTTGTGCCTTTTACATCACAAAATCTTCAACACATTTTAGAATACAAGGTTGGAGTATTCTGTCTCCAAAAAATTACAAGACTGACCTCTCTCATTCTTTTTTCCCTTGTTTTTGAAGAATGAGAACCTTGCACCCAAAAGCACTCAACGTATTTTACTGGACTCAGAAATAATTACCTCTTTTCTCACACTGCTTCTTTCAGGGAAGAAGTCCCTTGGCTTTCCCTTGCTCTGGCAATGATTTCAGAGCTCTGAGAACCAGAGATGCGCTGTGCAGGTTGAGAAGTGCTGACGCACTCACCTACTAACACAAGACCTGAGAAATAAACACTGATGATGAATTTTCTGCCCTGAGGCGCTAAGCATCAAACCACTGGGTGATTATTGAAGGGTTACCTGGAATCTGGGTTGTTTGCTGCAGTAGAGAAGTGTGTTAGACTTCATTTGTGTCTACACATACGTGTCTTTGGACAGTACAAGCTATAAAATGATTTTTGTGTACACAAGAGAGAAAACAAACTGATATGGTGCAAGAAAAGAATTACAAAATATTTCAAAGTTTTGTCAGTTCAGCCTTCGTGTCATCAACTGAGTTCCATATGCATGAAATGTGAAATGGGACACAGTGGGGAAGAGTCCCGTGGAAGGACTCACGCTTGGACTCCTGCGACTGACATAACTGGGCAGGTTTGGCAGAGCATCACAAAGTCTACATGAGGATCTGCTCTGGAGCAGCTGGGCTGCAGGCTCAAGCATGGGACTGAACACTGATTTGATAACTTCTGCAGCTCCAGCAAAGCAGAGGGGCTGATTCTCTCAGGAGAAGGGGAGTGACACCAGTCCTCGAGTGGCATGTATACAAATCAGCATGGCATAAACACAAGTGTTTTGCACCAATGGGTGGGCAGAGAGCTGAGGACCATAAGACCACTGCAGGCTGTAGGGTCAGCAGGAGAGGGAAGTCCCCCGCACACTGTGTGTCTTCAGCTGGTTTCCTTCCTCTGGGTATTCTACCAAGTGCTGCTGGCTGAAAAGCTCAAGCACAGAGCTGGAATCTCACCAGACTCGAACAGGGAGCTTATGGACATTGAGTGTTAACTATCAGCTCAGAAGGTGATTACAGAGCACTGGAACAGATTGTCTGGAGAGGCTGTGGAGTCTCCTTCTGTGAAGATATTCAAGACCTGTCTGGATGCCAGCCTGAGTGACCTACTGTAGGGAATCTGCTTTAGAAGGCGAGTTGGACTCCATGATCTCTTGAGGTCCCTTCCAAACCCTGGGATTCTGAGATAATTGCCACACCCAGGGATTGCTTTGCCTTCTCCCCAAGAAACACCTTGTGGAGTGCTCAGCTGGCAGGACTCAGCACTTTGCACCTCAGACACAAATAACTAGAGGTACTAAAGGAAGCGCTGCTGCCCCAAATGGGGACCCAAGGGGCCATCACTACTGGCCCAAATACTTCCCAAAGACAGGGCCTTTCCAACGTGCTGCGCCTATTGCTGGGTCCTCACACATGCATGCTTACTTGTTTCTTCTGCCTTCTTTCTGAACACCTTGCCAGGAAGGTAACTCAGACCACACCATCAGTCTACTGCTTTTTTATTTCTGAGCCAATGCACCCAACACAAAGTGTGGATCATCTCTGCTGCTGCAGAGCAAGGTAGCACGTCCAAGTAAAGCACTTGGTGGGACTTCTGCATGCACCCAGTAGGCACCAGGAGGCCTGGCACAGCCTGGAGCATCTTTCCAAAGGCCTTGCACTTTTGCTGAGTTTTATTTCTCTGGTTTGCAGATGAAACAAAAAGGTTGTATTTTATGCAGAAAGTGAGAACAGCACATTACAAAGCAATCACTCCTTCTCCCTGTCAGGATGCTCCCATCCAAATAGACTTGTCCATCCTTGGGCCATTTTTTCCTTCCAATTCATATTACCTTCCATATATTCCTTGGCACAGCCATTTCTGGCCCCTCCTTGTTCTCCATCTGCTCACAGAAGACTTGCCTCCAGCTCCATTGAGCAGCCCACAGACCTCCCTGCAGAACACCATCCTGGCCCCACAACCACAGGCAGCCCCAAGCAGTGAGACATGAAGCACAGACCACAACCACGAAGCAAAAGCTGCCACAGGCAGCACCGAGTTGAAAGCAATGAGAGAAAATGGCAAAGAAGTTATTGCAACAAGCCAGCATGAAATTGAATCGTTTTTCTTCATTAGACTGCCTTTCTGTTATCCACTCTTAGCGTGTGCTTGTTGAGCAAGGTCTGAGCTGGTATGCCTGCCAGGCCCTGCAGGCAGTGATGGACGGAGCCCCAGGCACACGCTTGCTTCCCAGCATGTCTGTGCACACGCTCCTGTGCACATCACTACATTGTAGGAGCTTGAGGTCATCAGCAGAAGAGTGCGGAGAACACGAGGTGCCCTCTTTTCCACCTCCTCACAATGTTTCCATGTGGACACCTGGCTGCAGCTCTGAGATGGGTGCAAGGCAAGTAGCCAGTGCTGTGATACCAACCCTCCCAGCACGGCCCTGCAGAAACCCAGGGCTGGTTGCACTGCTGCTGCAGACAGGGAGCTGTGTCATGTCATGCAGGAGGTGCAGGCTATACCCTGTGCAGAGCTGCAGGTGATGCTGGCGGCAGACAGGAGAGCATGAGGCCAGGGAGCTGCCTCAGTAAAGTGATTTCTTCTTCTTCTGCCCTTGCTTCTCTTTACCACCCTGGAGGACTGGAAGTTGGTTTCTGTCCATCTGCTAGAGCTGTGGATCACAGCACTCCAGACTGCCTTTCTGCACAGTCAGCCATCGGTATCAGTTCTCAGGCTGGCTGGAGCAGATGTGAGTGAGCTGCAGATGCAAAAGGAGCAGCAAGCACAGTGCAGGTGCAGCACTGACAGCATGCAGCCGCTTTCCTTGAGGAATCACACAGCTCTGCAGCTCTGCTTCCACCCACACACCCTTCCCAAGCATGGCCTTGGGGTGGAAAAACTGGCTTACCTCTCACTGCTGCTCCAAAATCACAGGAGAAAGACGAGGGACTAAGCTCTGAAACTGCCACACCGTCCTCAGGTCTCTTTGTTCCTACCCTCATTCCTTCCCCCCAAATCATTTTTCATCCCAAATACTTTCTTGCACTTGTACATCATTGCATCTCTCTTCTAAATTCCTCTTTCACAGATCTGAGCTTGGTGTGATTGCTGCAGAGCAATTCTTCCTGGTCAGAACAGGGAGTTAATTAAACATAGGTGCTGCTGAGTGCTTGGAGTATTACAATTTCATCTTGGTGAAGGGAGGGGACTTAGTAAAACAAACTGTGTCAGTCTGTGCACTACTACAGATTAATTTTGTCAGGGATTCTGCTTTGATGTTGATACTGCCAAATCTTGCTCTCCAGAGAGAATTATTAAATGTACTCACGTATACTGAGAAGTGTGGAAGCAGCATGGATACAGCTTACATTAACCTCCTCTCCAGTGCAGGTGCTCAGGCACATCTCATGAGTCTTCTGGCTGTGCACGGTGGGGTAGAGCAGGCACCTGAGGCTCTGCAGCAAGGTCTGCAACACGGCTCTGCAACAAGGCTCCTCCTTGTCCAGAGTTACCAGTGAGCAACTGAGACCTGGCCACGTGTGGAGTGCCCAATACTACAAGGATACAGGCAGAGCTGTGTGTGGCTGGGCTCCCTGCAAGGCTCAGGACACCTGCTGGTTGTTCCAATGCAATGGACATGGCTAGGATGGAGATCACCTTCCCTAGCTGCCCCTGCGAGGTTGTGCTCTGTGCTCACAGCTAGCATAGCTCTGGGACCCCAGCAATGCCTTGTCTCTCACTGAGCACTGCTGGCACAGTACCAGGACTCTCTCCAAGCTCCCAATGCCAGCACATGGAGGCAGGCAAGAGATGAGGAGGGGACACTGCTGGGGCACTGATCTAAACTGATGGAAGGGACTCTCCATTCTGTGGCACCAACTCTCACAGGTCCGCATACTGAGCCTTTCAGTCCACTCCCTTTGCTGTGGGCAGAATGCATTTGTACCAGCTGTACACAAACTGTGTTCTGCTCACAGAGTCAAAGAGAAAGAATTTGCCCCCAGAAATTATCATCCAAAAACGGAACAAGGACACCAAAGCAATCCTTTCCTGTACCAGTGGAAGTCTGCAGGCATGAGTTTGCAACCCAGCCTTGCCAAAAGCCACTCTTGTTATGCAGGAGGATGGACCTCAGGTCAGGTCTGCATTTATTCTGAACATCCCACCGGTTTCTTCACGGATTTGCAGGGGAAGTGAAAGAAACATGCAAAGCCTGTCTTCTGAGGCCTGTCTCCAGGTGCTTCAGAGCTCGCTTTGTCTTCCCTTCCGCAGCGGGAGTTTGAAATATCTGATTTGACTCCAAAGGAGGTACAAAAACAGCCATTAAGAAATCACTGTGTGCACTCTTCAGACTGGTTAAAGCATCTTCTTCCACACAGCCCAACCAAACTCTTGCAGGCAGCCCTGGCTGCGGCCATGGCAACTGCAGGTTTAAGCACCAGGGCTCCTCTGGCTTTGTACAGCCGTGCCCATCGATATTAGCTGAAGATCTGTTCTCTGATTTATGATGGAAGCACTAACAAACCCTTAAATGTGGCACAGAAAATAGCAGTAGCTTACCAGCACCATGGCATGAGAGGCAGAGGCTGTCTATTGCTCCCGAAGGATTTGTTTAAGGACAAGAACCATGATGAATACAGCCTGGGTGGCTCAATTACATGGGGACTCAATTACTTAAAACAAAGAAAGTGGATGGGGAGGGAAAAAAAAAGACAAAAATTCAAAATTATTTCTCTGCTGGAGGTCACATACAACAGCCCTGTCATCCATAAATCTGGAAATCTCCAAGGCACGCTATTCCTCTGTTGAAAGATGACAATTAATTGGTATTTTACTTACCTCATCCATGCAAATTATGCAGGGAACAATTCTAATTACTGCATTCTACATGTGTACAAGGTCAAAGTGGGCCATCTTTTGACAGTGGTGTAAAATGGATTGTGTTTATGCTTCACATGAGGGCCATGATCCTGCGTGAGCTGTGGGGCTCCTGCTCCCTACTGTTTGTGAGAGCCCATGCAGACATCTGAGCGACTGCACGAGCACAACAGGCACTGCAAACCCACAGCTGAAGAGCAAGCGTAACATGAGGTCTGGGAGAAATGCAAATGGCTGGAACCAGCAAGGAGACAGCACCACTGTGGTAGTGGGGCTAACATTCAGTGACAAGACACAGCATCTCCCTGAAGAAGGCACTCCCAATAAAATGATGCCAGTTTTGTAGGGATAGGATTCCTCCTCTTCGAGAAATGGGCATTCTGTCTTCCAGCAATGCCTTGTGTCTGCCAAATGATTCCATGAGGCAGAAATGGGAAGACAAAGGCATTCAGTAGCAGGCTTCCTGCTGGTGAAGGGAACTAGGAGGTCTGCTGTACCCAGTGGAGATCCATAGCCACTCATCAGTGAAGAGCACTGGGAGACAAGGCAGCACCAGGACACACATCCTGCTTACCCTGGTGATTGGTAATTGCCACTGGCTTATAAATGAGTACAGGTAGGAGCACAGCCCCAAAGTGGGGGCAGCAACTTACCCAGAAGTCCGGGATTGGGAAACCTCCAGGAGTCGTTGTAAGTTGAGTACTGTGGGTGGCTGTATGGGCTCCCAGAAAACTCACTCCCTAAATTAAAGGGAAACAGTAAAAAGACAAAATAAAGGTCATTTGATATAAGACTACAGTCACATGTGCGGGGAAAAACACACAAGTTCAGCATCTGTTGTATTCCAGTGAAAGCTTTCGCAAAAGCTCTGCCGACCACCCTGTCTGTAGAAGGGCCGTCTGGACCGCCCACTATTAAATGAGTACAGTCATCTTCTGTGTGTCCTTCTGCAGTCCAGCTCACCCCTGCTGAGTTAGTGGGATTTCCTCGTGCAGCCTGTGCTGCAGGAACAAGATGGCTTGCAGGAGTTGAGGAATCCGAGACCGACCTAAAAGGCCTGGCCACTGCCTCCACATCCCTGCAACACTCAGGGCAGCTGGGACGGAGCTGCTCAGCCAGTCTCCCTGTTAACAGAAGATAGAACAGCCGATCTTCTAGGTAGCGAACACCATTCTTGGCTCTCCAGCAGAACATGGGCCTGGACCCATGGACTTCCACTGATCACTTTAACAAAGGAAGAGGGATGCTTGCATCAGTTTCAGGAGTTTTTGAAACCCTCCAGACAAAGGCAGAGTTAAGACTCAAAGAATTGTTGCTATTTGTCTCCTCACAAGCTACTTTCTCCATCTTTTCTCTTCACATGTCATCTCCCTGTTTCATACCTGAGCTGCAATCTCTTCAGGGCAGCACCATGCATAACACAGCTCTGACCTTGGATAGGTTCCACTGCTATGCAAACAGAAATGTCACTGTTGTTTCACTGGAACATCTCCCATGAATGGCAGTTTCTCTGCTCTCCTATCTTTCTTCCACATCTCTTTCTCCTGCTCTGGTTCACAAGCATATACACACTAAACAGCGCCGATGAAGAAAGAACTATTTTCCTACGGCAATGTGGCAGAGAAGGCTGGCAGGTTGAAGAGAGAAGATGCTGGCTGCAGCCTTCATGTATTTAAATCCTCAGACACAGAATGGCTCACATCTCATACTGGGGAAGTCTCCTGCCTCAGCCAAGGGGCAGATCCACAACACACATCTCTATGCAGCTCTGCTGGGTCAGCACCCCATAGCACCACCTGCCACCACCTGGCACAGCCATCCAGCTGACCTGGAGCCATCGCCTCATCCCAGCCCAGAGAGCAGCCCCTCACTCAGGACAGGTCTGCCAAGAGGCTCATTTGCTGACCCCAGGAGAGAAGCATTAATGCTGTGGTGATCATTCAGGTATCACAAACGTCCTGAGCCGTGCGCTGCCGGAAGAGCACCATTTGGCTGCTGCTGGCATGAAGCAGCATCTGTGCTTGCTGGAGGCCGTGCGGTGTACAGGCAGAGGAGCGAGGTGGAGAGGACAGTGCCCACTCCCTGCTGCACAGCCCTTGCACGAGAAGCAGAGGTGGAGCAGAGCGTGCCCGCTGCCCTGCCCGCTCCCCCGGTTTGTTCCTCTGCAAACAGCGCCCCGTGACACATCCGGACCTGCAGCCTGCATGACCCGCGCCCACCAGAGACAGTACTGCACATCCCTGCCAGCACAGCGTCGTGTGCCCCAGGCGTTTCAATGGGTCACAGCACTCCCTCCCACCCTACGCCACGCGTGCTGCTTTGGAGGCAGCAACGCCTCCGAACACGCAGCCGTGCTGCAGATGGAAGCAGGCTGACATCTCATTGTTCCATTCTCTCCTGCCTCGCTCTCCTCCCCTCAGAACCTCTGCTACCCCCTTCCCTTCTCGCACACACATAAGGACCCTCTCTGGGGATGTGCTGGTGCCTGTCAGGTTGAAGCTTCCAATTCTCTGTTTTTTATGCCTCAGTGGTCAGGGTGTCAGGCTCCTGCAGCACACACCAGCCAGGAGCTGGAGGAGTCACTGAGCACCATCAGCTTGGTGACAGTACCGTGTGCTTCTTAACATACTCTGCATATCCATCAGCCCTGCAAAAAGAGGCTGAGGGTACAGGGGGGTTAGGGGGGCAGAGAGGGAATAGCAAATGAGAGAGAGAAACAAGTGAGTGGTGGAGGGAAAGGAGGGATGGGAGAGAAAGGCTCAGGCCCTGCTATCATCATCACAGTGTACAGGCAGGCAATTGCCGTGGCTGTGGGTGAACTAAACTGGATGAATGAATGCTGCACGAATGCCTCATGGGTTCCACCACGTGTTCCAGGCCCATCAGCATTACTTTCCAACTGCACACTGCCAACCAGCCCAAGCTCTACATTAAAAAAAAAACAAAAACAAAAACAAAAAAACAAAGAATCATGGAATCATTCACCCGGGGGCTCACACACACACATGCCTGCCTGCACTGTGGAGATGGGAGTGGGGGCCCTTCATGCTGAATGGTGCATACCTCCTCTCAGTGCAGGTCTGACAGCATGCCACCAGGATGCTCACTGCTGCTACGCTCAGAGGTGGAGGTTTGGGTGGAAGGTTTGAGAGGAGTGAACAGTTCAGAGCAACACTGCAGCAGTGGGCCCTGGGAGAAGTGCTCCATCCCAGAACAGCAGCACTGGGGCAGAATACAATGCCTCTGGGCAAGCTGTGGGACTGAGCTGTGCAGCTCAGCAGGGATGATGCAGCCATGAGGCTGAGCCATGCAGGTTGGTGGTGGTAGTGCAGGTGAGCTCACTTGTCCAGTATGTCTCCTCTAGGGACTGCCAGCTCGTTTGCTTTAAGGTAAAGTCTCACTGCATTTCCAGAGTGATGTGCAGAGGAAATGAAAACTCTGAATTCAAAAATCACAAGAAGCAGTATGTGAAGAAAAAGATGCCATGACTTAAGAGAACTGACCCTGCAAAGGAGTTGGGAAGACTGCCTGCCCCTCTGCACACAGGATGCTGGGTTCAGTCCACCTCAGAGGATTCATCACTCATCCCAAAACCACCTACCAGTGCCATTCTGCTCTGAGGAGCTCCATGGAGTATTGGGGTGCTGCAAACCATCCCTCACTGAAAGGGAAAAGGACGGGACAGAACAGCAGAAGTGCAAATGTTGGCTGTCCAAAGGAAGCAAGATGTGTGGAAGGACATCAGTGCAGTGGGTACCACATTCTTCCTTAAACGTCATCCAAGTCTAAGGGAAGATCCTCAGTCAATCTCAACCAGTTTAGGATCTTGGTAGGTAAAAGAGGAAATAAGTTGCATGTTCAACACCCTTTTTAGTTGTTTTTTGAAGGGACGCTGTGTAACCATGGAGGAACAGGCATTGGAAGGGACGCTTAGAGGTTATTTACTCTAAATTCATGCTCAAAGCAGAGCTTTTAAACAAGCCATATCCAGCTAAGTTCTGTCCTTTCCAACCTTAATGGCTATGATTCTCCCAGGACAAAGGTTCCACAGATTTCTGGGCTGCTGACTTCACTGTCACCACACAGCATGAAGGAGATCTGGCTTGTGCTGTCCTATCCATTGGGGTAGAACAACTGCCAGAGGCTGACTAGCAGGGAGCTGATAGTTCTCCTGCACTCCTATCTTTGTCCATGAGTGTTCCACAGGACGGAGGGCAATGACAACTCTGCCTCCTGCTCTGCCAGTGACTGTCCACTGGTCTACTTGCTCTCATCCAAACAAAGCAGATGGTGACACTAAAAAATTAAGGCACAAAAGAAGGAAACAGGTACCAAAGCACAACCCTACCGAAACAAAACGTGTTTCAGATGTAGTGCTCAACCTGGAAAGAAACCGAGCAGTAAAATGCACTGCGTACACCAAAAGTCTGTCATTTCCTACCCAGTTTGTCTCAAGGAAACTAACAACCAGTTGAAAGTCCCAGGATAAGCAAACAGAATCAATAAAGCAGCCACTGAAGAGCAGGCTTGGAAAATTTTCCGGTAAGAGTTAACAGCCAGACGTGCAACAGCAGTAACTGTGCTGCAGAGAAAGACCTCTGAGGGTAAAGAGCAGCTTCTGTGTAAGCACCATGTGTCTATTTTGGCTTTGGTGGATATTGGAAGCCTTGTTCACGTATGACAGCAAGCCAGCCCATTCCTAGTCTCACACAGGTAGATCTAATAGAGCCAGCCCCACCAAGATGTCCCTGCTGACTGCAGCATGAAACAGCTGCTCATCCCCTGTTGTGCCATCCTGCTTTACACACAGGTTTGTTACTCTGAGATGTGCACAGGCACAGAGTGAGAACACAGCAGAACATGGCAGTCACAATGTGAGCTCCATCTCCTCCTCGGTGGGCTGCAGACCTGAGGGCAGCATTTCCCCATCTGCCAACTGCATTTCACTGTTTCCCACTTTTGCATGGAAAGTGAGAGCAGCAGTGTGGCAGCACATGGATAAGGAAGGGTCAGTGATGACTGCAAAGGCAGCTCTTGGGTTTGCCTGATGAGACAAGAAACTCGAGCCACTTCTTTGAGGTACCTCACAACATCTGCCCGGTGCACCACATTTCTCTTCTCACTGCAATTTCAGGAGCACTAAGGAGCAGCAATCCCAGTATCTAGAAGGAATGGGCAGAAAGCTTCTCTAATAGCTTTGACCAGACTTGTGATAAAAGCATTTGGGCATCCTGCACCCGTGTCCCAAACACGGGCCAAGAGACAGGGAGAGGGCAGTTGGGCAGAGGGGAGAACTTTAATGAAAAAGTAACTTTTCCAAAGGGATTTTTCAGAACATCCGAGACCTCAACATCCAAACTAGAAGCTGCTGGCAGCATCTGGACCCTGCGTTGTCTGTCACTGTGTCAAGCAATTCATCCCTTAAATACAGGAAAAAGGTAAATAAAACATTAATAAACAGAAAAAGAGAAATGCTTCCTGTGCAATTATTTCTTCCTTTTTTATTTGTTGAGGATGAAATAGAAAGTAACAGATCTCAGGAGAAGAAGAGCATTTGCAAATGGTTTTCAAGGAAATCTCTCTTTACACATAACAGTTTGATTGGTTGGATTTGTTTGAAAACAGCATGACAAAGCTATGACTAAAAGTGCAGCCAGTTCTAGGCAAGACAGAGCCCCTGGAGCTGCAGGGCAGAGCAGAAGTCGTGCACAGAAACAGAACGTGCATACAGACGGATGCA